ATCAATTAATTTTAAGTGTTGGGTCAAAACTAATATCTTTATTTATTTTCGAACAAAGACAAATGGAAAAAGAAGGAAAATAAAGATATTTTAATATTAAAAATATTTAATACGTTTAATAATAATTATATAATAAATTTAATAAAATTTAAATTTAAATTATACCATATATATTTAATAATTATAACTAAAAAATATATAATATTTTTAATAATGCTTTCTAATTTTTTCTTTTCTGGACACTACTATACTAGAGTTCAATAATTGTGAGGCTGCCATTAAAAAAAGAAAGAAAAGAAAAGAGAAGAGAAAAAAAAATCATGTTAACGCGGTGGTCTTGGTCCGGACCTGGCGCTGTGCGCGCTCCCACCCATTCAAATTCCCAATTCATTGGGCCACCGGCCCAACACTTTTTGCGGGTCCCATTCTGTTGGCTTTTTCTCTCCAACCTTTTCCATTTTGTTGTTTTCTCCTCCTCCTACTGATCTTGTCATTGTTATCGAGTCGGCAGATATCTATAGTGGTAAAAGGCAAAAACTGAAAAATCATTTCCTGTGCAAGGGTGGGCAAAACTGGTTTTTGGTTAAAATTGAAACCGATTTTAAAATAACCAAAATTTTTTTTCTCTAATTTTGAGAACCAAAGTCGAACCAAAATTATCAAAAACCGATTAGTTTGGTTATCAATAAAATCGATTCGGTTTCGGTTTTTGATAAATAAATAATAATCAATTATTTTTCTAATAATATATTATATTTCATCATATTTTGTCATATTTTATCATATTTATCTTAATTTTGATTTTCGAGGGATTTATTTTTGGTTTTTGGGTTTTTTTGAAAGGCTCAACCGAAACCGAACAAAATATATTCAGTTAATATTAAAACCAAAAAATAAAAATCGAAAATCATTGATTGAAACTGAACCGAATTCATTTTTTGGTTTGATTTTCAAGTAACCTATCGGTTCAGTTTAAAATGCCCAGCCCTATTCTTGTGCCATGTTTATGTTGAGGTATTAATGTCGTTCGCAGCCAAAAATATAAAAGTTAATTTTTTGGGTAGCTTATTTCGGTCAAGTCATTTGACTAAAATAATTCTTTTCATCGTTTGGTCAAGTAGCTTGATTGAATTAAAAATGAATTTTTTTTTGAATTTCATAAAATCTAAAATCAGATTTGCCAAGAAGCACGAAAAATTTAAAATCAGATTTGCCATGCTTGTTTGGCTGACCAAAACATCTGATTTCAGATTTTTCGTGCTTCTTTCAATTTTAAAACCATGACTTAGCATGTCAAATAGGTTCAAAATTTTATTTCAGTCAATTTTATTGACCGAACTATTAATATTTTATGTTATTTTTTAATATTTAAAGTTAAGATAACAACAGATTTTTTTCCATTTTTATTTGGTCAAGTGGCTTCATCGAATAAACTAGTACTTCAAAATTCGGCCAAACTCACTTGACCAATTTGTCTTGGCACTAATTGACGCCAAATTATTTCGGTCAAGTGGCTTGACCGAAGTAAAATTGGACCAAATTATATGCTTTTTTTTTTTTCATTTTTTACAGACAAATATGATATTCGATTATTCTATTTCTTCGAATTATTTGTTTTTCGGTCAAAAAATTACTTGATCGAAATACTTTGACCGAAATGGTCAACTTTCTAGTAGTGAACTGATCCCCTACTGCTCTCGCAAAACTTCTCTCAAGCATTTTGACTGCAATCTTGACCCCATTAGGAAACTGTCCTTTGTAGACTACACCAAATCCCCTAGATCCCAATCTGGTCAAGTAATTGCTCGTGAATGCATAAAGCTATTGAGCAGTGAATCTCACCAGCTTCTCTTTTGCCACCTTCTGTAAGAACTTCTCCATGGAGGGTACGCCAACCTCCCAAACTTGAACCACATAGTGGGGTAGTTAACTAACTAGCGGTGCACTCCTTATAGCTCTTCTGGCCAGGTTGGCACAGTAAAAGCATCAAGGATTCTTCTTTAATTTAAAGGTAATTATTTTACATTAGAAGAGAGGGTTTAATATCTATATCAAAGACCATCCTTTAACTTAGGTAACTGATTTACAATCTGATTTAGTTCAGATTGTAAAATAATTTTTTGCTTCAATTTTATGATGATAATTTTTAATTGTTTATTATTTTTTAATATCACTTATAAGTTATTAGTATATAAAATAGAGATCTATTTACATATAAATTTTACACATTATATTTACACAAAATTTTAATAATTCATCACTTTATTTTTAGGTTAAATATTAAATTTGGTCCCTCAACTTTAGTGAGTTGCACATTTTTGGTCACTCAACAATTTTTTGCACTTTTTTGATCCCTCAACTATACAAAATGCACTCCGTTAATCCTTCTGTTAATTTGGGCCGTTAACTCGCCCACATGGCATTTTTTATATTTTTTTTGATGACATGACGAACACAACTTAAAAAGATGCTTATATGGACTTTCTTTTTTGATGACATGTCATCTTCTTCATCTTCATCCTCCAATAGATTCTAGTCACCTGTAAACTGATTTCTCGTCTTCATCCTCTGCAAAATCGATCTTAACCCATTTCTTCTTATTCTCTGTCATCTCCACTCCATCTGCAAAATCGATCTTAACCCATTTTTTCTTCTTCCGTGAATACTCTGTCATCTCCACTCCATCTACAGAACCGATCTTAACCCACCAATTTCTTCTTCGTCTCTTTTCTTGGGGAAACTTGAGCTATTGAGCTGTTAGGTTTCATTGAAACCTCAAACCTGACAAATCTTACCAAATCAAAATAACCCTTCAATAAACAATACCAATCAAACTCAAATCAAATTTCAATAAAAATACAATCAAATTTTAATCAAATTCCAATAAAAATGTAATCAAATTATAAATCAATCTCCAAATATATTAACAATTGCAAATGGAAATCGAAAGAAGAACGAAAAAACAAAAACCAAGTTTTCCCAGCAAAGTTGGGTTCGATTGAAACCCAGCCTTGGCTGGTCGTGAACCCAGCAAGGCTGGGTTTCCACCGAACCCAGCAAGGCTGGGTTTCCACCGAACCCAGCTGGTCGTGAACCCAGCAAGGTTGGGTTTCAACCGAACCCGGCCTTGTTGGGTTCCGATGAACCCAGCCTTGGCTAGTCGACGAACCCAGCAAGGCTGGGTTTCCACCGAACCCGAAAGAAAGAAAGAGAGAAAAAAAAAAGGGAAGAAGAGGGACTGGGAGGGTGAGGGTGAGGACGAGGGTAATAAAGTAATTTTACATGTTTTTAATTAAAAAATGTATATTAACTTATGTGGCATTTTTATTTATTTATATAACATAATTATAATATATATTAGTGCCAGATCATCAAAAAAATTAAAAAATAATGCCACATAAAATTATTTAACTGCCACATTATACTTAATTGACGGAGGGACCAAAACTGTGCAATTTTTAGAGTCAAGGGATCAAAAAAATACAAAAAATTGTTAAGGGACCAAAAATGTTCATTTTGAAAAGTTGAGGGACTAAATTTAGCATTTAACCTTATTTTTAATAGTTAAGTTATATCATATTTTTTAGATAAAAAAATTATCTCTAATAAATATAATAAAAAGTAAATAAATCTCAATAATTAAAAGTATAAAATGAATTATTAAGATTTTATATAAATGTGTTATATAAGACTTGTGTGTTAGTGAGTTCTTATTCTAGTATTTATTATTTTTAATTTGCTTTATATTACTTATTTGATGTCCAATAATATTATAAAGTTATATTATAAAACAGTGTGATTATAAATTATGTGCATTTTACGGGGTTAATGCCATGGGTCACTAAACTTTGCTAGCTGAATTTGAATTGAACTTTCTCAATGGGATAGGTACATGCCTTTTTATGTGTCATAAGACTAGTTAACTATTCTACTTCAACTCAACTTATTGATATGGTGGGACAATTTTGACAAACCAAACACAACCTATTGTAGGACCAGAAATGGATTTGCACAAAACTTGTACACGACAGAACAAACCAATGTTTTATGAACCGGATTGGACTGGTTGGTTCAATTGGTTGAATCATCAATCGATGGACAAAACAGGCCGGGTGGACACCCAAGCCCGTTTAGACGGTTGGACCGTCCAAACCTGAAAGAACCGTCTGACTCGTCGAACCCAATAAACCTGGTGAACCGACCTGGCGAATTCTTCCATGGTGGTGTGACGCTGCAAGCCTACTGCAACTTCGTTTCATTCTTTTTTTCACAATTTCCCACTTTTTCCAACACAAAAGCAAAATCTAATAGTTTTTTCTCCATTCTCTAGTCTCCATCGGTTCTCCACTCTCAAATCTAGTCTCCATTGCTTTTCCAGATCTGATCATTATTCTCCATTACT